ACAAGACCATGAAGACGAGAATACAATGATAAATACTATACAAAAATACACCTCAAAGTTGGCGTTTTAATCCAAAAAAAAAACCGGTCAGTTTTTTTTCTCATTATGCAGTGTGTGCTGCAGGATTTTTTTTATGTGGTGCACACTGACCACACAGACCCATTCTCTCACATGTGGGCCTACCAGCTTTCTCCTGCTTAATTTGAAGCCGCTAGAATTATTGAGTATATATACGTCTGAAACACTGGCTCATAAGACATATATATACGACCAAAACAGTCAAAGGGTTAAACACAATCACCATTACTAGCCACCCACTCTCTTATTAGTTAAATCGAAGGGTACCATACTGTACGTGTGCATACCTATCGTGATAGTGAAAAACTTAAAACAATAATATGAATGGTGTCCAAGATCCTCTAAGGGGTAAATTAAATTAATTTGTAGATGAACAAATGGAATGATGGATAGGGACTTGAACCATGGGCCATGCATGTAGCAGGCCCAAAGCTGTAACCACTCAGCTTACAATAGGATGATTTTACAACCAGCATTTCTGTGACCTAGTTATATCAGTACCACCAACTGTGACCATACATACTGTCTTATCTCACAAGCTCCTGAAGCTATCATAGTACAGTGGACCCCCGCCTAACGATCAGCTCCCAACTCGACCAATTATGTAAGTGCTTTTGTAGGTGTATTTTTGGGGGTCTGAAATGGACTAATCTAATTCACAATATTTCTTATGGGAACAAATTCAGTCTATAACGGCACCCAAACAGACTTCTGGATTGAAATAATATCGTTAGGCGGGGGTCCACTGTACATCCATTCTCATACCCTTCAAAGCCACAGTCCAAAATCCCGTCATAATGAACGATTCAACAAATAAAAGAATGTACAGCGAATTCAAACTGTACTTCACTCATGTAGCAAGTTTAACCACTCAGCCACAGAGCTTATAACAACATTAGCAGGACATTTCCTTATGATGCAACACTTACTGTACATCATCCTTCTCTCATTGATTTGTTTTTTAGCTATTAATATACAGTACATTACTGGTATTAGTATTATTCACATAAAGCTCATACAGTATTATTCACATATGGCTCATACAGTGCAATTATCAATATAAGGCTGGGGTATGGGGCACACACTGTCGGTCAGAACATACTAAACTGAAAATAAAGAAAGGAGATCAAAGGTTGCAGCAGTATGGAACATTCAAAAGTGAGATGAGGAAAGGTTGTGGGCATAGGTTGTAGAATACAGCGGTACCTTGATTTACGAGTGCCTCAACTTATGAGTTTTCCAAGTTACGAGCCACTGGTTGGTTGATTTTTTGCTTTGAATTGCGAGCCAAAATCCAAGTTACGAGCGAGCTTCAGACATGCCACCACTAGTTGGAGCAATGAATGCCAGAACAATGCACGTGGTTAACTCACCGTGCAAGCATCTCTCTTGTGTTGTGCTTGCATTTTGTGCAGTTATTTTGCCAATTTTTTTTTTCTAATCATGGGTCCTAAGAAAGTAAGTGCAAAGGACAGTGCTGAGAAGAGGATGATGATGTCCATTGAATTAAAGTATGAAATCATAGAAAAACACGAGCGGCGTGTAGTCGACTTGGAGAGGCAGTACCTCGTGCCTTCTCTGCAAGAAGGCACGAGGCATTTACACTGATTTACTTCTTAGATATTTACCCAAAATGTAGGCCAGTCTGTTGACTCCGAGGGGGGAGGGGTCCGAGAAAATCACTTTTGTTTCAGTGTTTTTCTTATGAAACTAGTGATCTAGTGCAGTTAGCCTCACAAGCACTGTTTTCTTTTATAATAAGATCTCAGAAGGGCAAGAATGGGAAGTTATGGTCAGAGCGATAATTAATTTTACCTCGAGAGTGGCCGCCACCACTCGTCATATAATGACATATTTTATTTATTCTAGAGTATATATCATGTTTCTATGTTATTTATATTGTTTATTATGTCATATTAGATCTGTTTTCAATGAGGAAAACTGAGTTGTCATACAGTGGACCCCCAACTTACGATGGCCTCAACCTACGATAAAACTGACTTACAATGCTTGTCAGCGTAAAAATTTGACCCCGACCTACGTTGAAAAACTCGACTTATATCATTCGTCCCATACGCGTCCATCTGGCCTGAGCACACCTCAACTGCCCTGCCTTCAGTTAGTGTGCCAATGTTTACAAGCCAATCCGGTCGCTTCCACGCATACATTCAGAACATTTTGTATTATTCCAGTGTTTGTAGTGCTTGTAACTGCTAAATAAGCCACCATGGGCCCAAAGAAAGCTTCTAGTGCCAACCCTGTGGTAAAAAGGGTGAGAATTACAATTGAAATGAAGAAAGAGATAATTAATAAGTTTGAAAGTGGAGTGCGTGCCTCTGAGCTGGCCAGGTTGTACAACAAACCTTAGTCAACCATCGCTACTATCCTGGCCAACAAAAAGGCAATCAAGGAAGCTGCGTAAGGTGCAAGTATCTTTACGAAACACAGATCGCAAGCACTCTAAGATGTTGGGAGACTATTATTGGTGTGGATAAACGAAAAACAGATCTCTCTCAAGCGATCATATGTGAAAAGGCAAGGCAGTTGCATGACAATTTAATTAAAAAAATGCCTGCAATTAGTGATGATGAGAGTGAATTTAAGGCCAGCAAAGGTTGGTTTGAGAGATTTAAGAATCGTAGTGGCATACATAATGTGATAAGGCATGGCGAGACTGCCAGTTCGGACAAAAAAGCGGCTGAATTTTTTTTTTCTTTTTAAACAAGTCGGCCGTCTCCCACCGAGGCAGGGTGACCCAAAAAGAAAGAAAATCCCCAAAATAAAAATACTTTCATCATCATTCAACACTTTCACCTCACTCACACATAATCACTGTTTTTGCAGAGGTGCTCAGAACACAACATTTTAGAAGCATATACATATAAAGATACACAACATATCCCTCCAAACTGCTAATATCCCGAAACCCCTCCTTTAGAGTGCAGGCATTGTACTTCCCATTTCCAGGACTCAAGTCCGGCTATATAAAAATAACCGGTTTCCCTGAATCCCTTCAATAAATATTACTCTGCTCACACTCCAACAGATAGTCAGGTCCCAAATACCATTCGTCTCCATTCACTCCTATCGAACACGCTCATGCACACCTGCTAAAAAATATGTGCAGGAATTCCAGGGGTATATAGAGGCTGAAGGATTGCAACCCCAACAAGTGTTTAATTGCGACGAAACAGGCCTATTTTGGAAGAAAATGCCAAACAGGACCAACATTACACAGGAGGAAAATGCACTCCCAGGACACAAGCCTATGAAGGACAGGGTTACTTTAATGTTGTGTAGTAATGCTAGTGGGGATTGCAGAGTGAAGCCTCTACTCATGTATCTCACTGAAACTCCCAGTGTATTCAGGAAAAACAATGTCGTCAAGGCTAATTTGTGTGCGATGTGGACGCAAACAGTAAGGCATGGGTCACTAGGGACATTTTCTACGACTGGTTTTACCATGTTTGGCCCCACTTTGAAAAATTACCTCCTGGAAAATAAATTGGAGCTTAAGTGCCTCCTGGTATTAGACAATGCTCCTGGTCATCCTTCAGACTTGGCAGAGTGAATTTCAGGGGAGTTGAGCTTCATACAAGTTAAGTTTTTGCCTCCTAATTCCACTCCTCCAGCCTATGGACCAGCAGGTCACTTCAAATTTCAAAAAAACTGTACACCAAAGCAATGTTTCAAAAGTGCTTTTTGAAGTGACCTCAGACACTCGATTGACCCTAAGAGAGTTTTGGAAAGATCACTTTAGTATCCTCAGTTGCATAAACCTTATAGGTAAGGCTTGGGAGTGAGTGGCTAAGAGAACCTTGAACTCTGCTTGGAGGAAATTGTGGCCAGAATGTGTAGAAGAGAGGGATTTTGAAGGGTCTGGGGCTAGCCCTGAGGAGCCTATGCCAGTTGTGGAATTTATTGTGGCATTGGGTTGGAGGTTAGTGGGGAGGATGTGGAAGAGTTGATGGAGGAAGACGATGAAGGACTAACCACTGATGAGCTGCAAGAGCATCTGCAACAGCTATTGGCCACAACTGAGGAAATTGCTTCAGAGGAGGGGAGAGAGAAATCGAGGAAGTTGCCTTCTTCAACGATTAAGGAAATGTGGACAAGGGTGCAAGCCTTTATGGAAGAAAATCACCCTGACACAGCTATTGCAAGCTGTGCTGGTGACTTTTACAATGACAATGTTGTGAACCACTTTAGAAAAATCTTAAAGGAACGCGAGGTACAGAGCTCTATGGACAGATTTTTGGTGCGACAGAGATCCGGTGGTATTAAAAGAAGGGAAGTAACCCCGGAAAAGAACTTGTTACTTAAAGTCCTTATTGAAGGGAATTCCCCTTCCAAAAAATAATACACCTCCATCATCTCCCCTCCTCCCATCCCATCACCACATCTTCAATAAAGGGTGTCATTTATTCTTCATTACACAATATATATTGTGCATGTATCCTTCTGTTTGTGTGTAGGAAAATGTATATTTCACGTGGTAAAGTTTTTTTCTTTCATACTTTTGGGAGTCTTGAACGGATTAATTTGATTTCCATTATTTCTTATGGGAAAATTAATTCGACACGATAATTTCGTCTTACAACGTGCTCTCTGGAACAGATTAATATCGTAAGTCGGGGGTCCACTGCACGAGTAAACTAAGTTACGAGCTGGGTCACAGAACGAATTAAACTTACAAGTCAAGGTACCACTGTACAGGACAGGTTAGTTACCCAACACCATGCTCTAGATAATTTGAGATAGCTTAGTGTGTTCAACACATAGTGAATCCCATACCATCAGTGAGAAAATTTATAATTTCTAAACAAGTTTGCTAGTTCATTTTCAAGTTTTGTGCAATAATTGCAATTACCAACTATGGATTTAAAAATGAAGATCTTTTTCAGTGTTATATTTAAAACTAGTTTAAATTCATTACATTTTATTTTCAACATCATTTGCAATCCTAGAACAAATGCCTAATTACTTTGATCGGAAATGAGATACATATTATGTAGCATAAAAAACAATGATGGGAACAAGAGGCTAGTAACTCCTTCTCCTATATAAATTACTACATGTTAAAAGAAAATTTTTCATTTTTCTGTTTAGGTCACCCTGCCTTGGGAGATGGCTGGTGCATTAAAAAAAAAAAAAAATAGATAGATTCTCAAGTTTCAACTGCATCATGCTCCTTTAAAGTTGTCTGCACAATTGCCACATATGAGATAGAATTCAGTATGTTGCCTATAATCTTTTAATTAAGTACATAAATTATGAACCACAGAAAAATGTTAGTAGTCAATTTACCTAGGAATAAAAGTAATTTTAGCTAGTGGGAAAATAAATTAAATAAAATTTTATATTAAATAGGTCTCTCACCAAAGTGTTTCCATCTGATAAAATATGCTACGTTGATCAGAAGGCAATTAATATCCCGTAAAAGTGTTCGAGGCTGAGAGAAGTAATGGAGCAAACTTAGGTAGTATATTTCAAGGTAGCTGTTTTTTTTTAATAGTAGTCATCTTCCCCCATTCCCCCAAAAAAGTTCTCCAGTAATCAACATGCCAGTGATGTAAAGATATAGTTAGTGATTTGTGTGTTAACCAATACGTCCAAGAATTTTATTTGATTTTCCGTGGTATAATATTCTTTCCCACCATTTTTAAATTAACTATTCCTAGTGGGTTTTAATGTAAAAAAATTAGTGCCAGAACATTTCAAATTTTCATTATTCTGTAATGTTGGTAAAAAGAAAATGCTATAAAAACTACAAAATACTGAGAATTTATTCTTTAATACAGGTTTCCCTTGCTTTATGCAGTTTTGCTTTATGCAAATTCTCTCATATACAGCAACCCTTTTTCTGCCAGTAATTTGCTGTGCGGTATAATTTCACTTTTATGAATCCCAAGACCCAGCCACCACTTGAGTTTAACACTATATTTTTAAATTACTCTCTAACTGGTTTACATTGGGATTCTTAAGAAAAAATGACCAGAAAGAAAACAGGTTTAGGTGTGGAAAATCCATTGAGCATATTTTGACTGAAATTCTATGGCTGGTTTTCAAATTTAAGTGTTTTGTGTCAAGACAAATGAAAATGAATACCTGACCAGGTGCACTGATACAAAGTTGGGACTAGGGGTAGGGGGAGGGGAAAATACTGATGCAGTAATTTATATTTAAATAATAATAATAATAATAATCATATAATAAAATTAAGCACTAAACCTGAAAGAGGATATATAATTAAAGGTTCATAATGTGTACTTCAATCCAGACAAGGATAGAATGTTCATTTGGTGGCAGAGGGAGATTATGACAGAATTTTTTCCCATTTGTTTTTTACCAATTACAATTTATTTTTAGTATATATCTGTTTAGTGCCTATATGATATGCTCATAATTTTTTGTTTTAAGTAAATTGGATTTTTCCCCTCCCTCCAATTTTGTATTATATAGAAATTATGAATGAATTGTGATTTTTTTTTCAACAAATTTCATGTCTTTTTTATGACTAATTGGTGCATGTGTGGAAAGGCCTTTTTTTTTTTTTTTTTTTGTAAACATTAGTCCAGAAATGTGGAATCTGCAGTCTCAGAACAAATTGCTATGTTTTACATTAGATCCACTTTAAGCAAATTCAACATATGTGCCATGGAAGAGGAATGTAATTATCACAAAGCAAAGAAGACTTGTATTCTCAAGCTTACATAATTGAGCACCCAGAAATAAAAATTACAATTCCTAAGACATGAACCTAATATACATATTTAAAATGGTTAAAGGAACATACCAAAATTAAAAATTCAACTCAACATAAATACAATGTAGTGTTCTGAGCTTTATAAATAAAGCTCTCAGAATTTCTCAATAATATGAAAATAAGATATGTATCTTAAAATGTAAACCATTCTCCTGTATACATTACTAAATTTAAAAAGAGAAACTTCTGTTTTTCTTTTTGGACTACCTTGCCTTGGTGGGATATGGCCCATTTGTTGAAAGAAAGATCTTAAAATGTGCCTGGTTACATTAACATTTACTAAAATTGAAAAAAAAAATTAATGAAAAGTTCAGTAATGACATGTGCAACTGCAAACTGTCTGCATTTTGAAAATATTTAATGAAATGTTTTTTCAGGCTACCTCCAGATTACAAAACCTTTGAAACTATTTCGAAGTCTAACTGCAAGCAATACATTCATTGCAATATAACATGTCTGCTCTCTTAAATTAATTATGAGAAATCAATCTTAAGCACTATATACAATCAACCTGTAACTTCGTGATGAAAAAATTTACTCAAACATTACATGGGAGAACCTCGTGGAAAAGTTCCAGGGCGGGATCTTCTGGCACGTTGGGGTCCACCACGCATAAGAGATGGTGCATGCATCATAGGATTGATACTAAATCCTCTGCCACCTTGGGCTGGGGATCTTAGAAATCCCCTTCCTCCACGATGCATATGGAAGCCACGACCTATGATGGAAGCAAAATCCATTACCTCTAACATGTACAATATAAGTGTAACCACAATGCAAACTACTAAAAAAATTAGTAAGGAAAGAAAAGAAATATGTTCTACATATGTCACATACAAAAAAAAAAAAAAAAGTATCATGGCTGGTACAGTTCACCAAAAACCCACACTTCCTTCAGCCCCTACTGTATGGTCTTTTGGTCTTCTCTACTTTTCTCACCCTAGATATGACTTTAAAATGGTCCGGGATGGACCAACACGTCAAGGCATTGGTTTAAGCCGGTGGGAGAATTTTAGCCGCCTCACATAGGCCAGTAGGCCTGTTGCAGTGTTCCTTCTTTCTTATGTTCTTAAAAGGTTCTTCTCCTGAGTGCAAGGTTTTTTGGTGAAGCGTGACGTAATAATTACAATCTTAGTTTGCAATCACTACTTTATATTTTTAGAGCTTTCTCAAACAAACATCAAATCAACTTACCCCGCCGATTTCTTTGAGGTGAATCATCCCAAGTAATGGGGGTAATTCTGCGCTGTTGTGAAGAAGATGGTAAAGAGCTTGGTGTAGAGGAAGGAACACTGGAAACATCTTGAGCTGGTTGACTACTACTATCACTCCCAACTCGTTCCTCAGCTTCACTTGCCTGTCTGTCAGCTTCTGCCTCTTCTCCTTCATCCTCTTCATCCAAATCAATCACTGTAAATTGCCAAACTTGTGTGTTTTCTTCTTATAAATAAAATGAGTTACTCTAATTACCAACCCAGAGATGGTTTGGGCAATCACTGCCTTCAAAGTCCAGTTAATTTTTAATTTAAATGAGAATTTAAGCAGTAGAAAAAATATATAAAAAACAAAGTAGACAGCAGTGACAGGAAAGTCACTAGGACATGAGAGAAGCATATGTAACTATTACCTACATGCAAGCTTGTGTATATTTTGAATATGAAAAATCACTTTGTTTCAATATATCATGGAATTACCCAGATAACTGCAATCAAATCTCTGTCTCAGATTTTCGCTTGGCCGACTTCATGGGACTGAAAAATTACCTGGGTGGGCTAAATTGGGATGTCCTGACTATGGGTCAGGTAGGTGATCTTGGTTACCAATATGACGTTTTTCAGAGCATAGTTCTAGCTGCCCAGACAACTTTTGTTCCGAGTAGGGAAATTAGATCTAACAAAAATGATGCCAAATGGATGAACAATAGATTAAAACATCTCACTGGTCAAAGGAGAGGCATATATAGGCATATCAAAAGAGGGGATGGGCAGTTAAGAAATCAATATATTCAATTAAAGAGAGAAATAATGAAAGGAATAAGAAAAGCAAAAAGGGATTATGAGGCTAAGGTCGCAAGGGACTCAAAGACTAACCCAAAAGGGTTCTTTCAGGTATACAGAAGTAAGATTTGGGACAAGATTGGCCCACTTAAGATTAACTCTGGTCAGATCACTGACAGTGATAAGGATGTGTGTGAAATTCTCAATACCTACTTCCTCTCAGTTTTCACCCAGGAAAATACTAGCGATATTCCTGAACTAATAGATTATGTAGAACAGGATAATAAACTATGTACGATTGCGGTAACTAGTGACATGGTCCTCAGACAAATAGAGAAACTAAAACCTAACAAATCCCCAGGCCCTGATGAACTGTTTGCAAGGGTGTTTAAAGGAATGTAAAGAGGAACTTAGCATACCTTTGGCTAATCTTTTTAACATATCACTACAAACTGGCATAGTGCCTGATAAGTAGAAAATGGCAAATGTAATATCCATTTACAAGGCAGGTGACAGGTCCTTGGCTTCGAACTATAGACCAATAAGCCTTACCTCCATAGTGGGAAAATTTATGGAATCAATAATTGCCGAAGCAATTCGTAGCCATCTTGATAGGCACAGATTGATTAATAAATCTCAACACGGGTTTACAAAGGGGTGTTCCTGTCTTACGAATTCACTAACTTTTTTTCACTAAGGTGTTTGAGGAGGTAGATCATGGTAATGAATATGATATTGTGTATATGAACTTCAGTAAGGCTTTCGATAGAGTTCCACATCAGGGGCTATTGAGGAAACTTAGGGCACACGGAATAGGGGGAGAAATTTTTCCTGGGTAGAGGCATGGCTGACAAATAGGAAGCAGAGAGTTTGCATAAATGGGGAGAAATCAGAATGGGGGCACGTCACAAGCGGTGTTCCTCAGTTGTTCACAATTTACATAAACGACATAGATGAGGGAATAAATAGTGGCATAAGCAAGTTTTCTGATGACACCAAAATAGGCCGTCCAATTCATTCTAATGAGGACACTAGAGCACTCCAGGATGATTTTAATAGACTGATGCAATGGTCGGAGAAGTGGCAGATGCAGTTTAATACTGACAAATGCAAAGTTCTAAATGTTGGACAGTTAAATAACCATGCCACATATAAACTAAATAATGTAGATCTTAATACTACTGATGGGGAAAAGGATTTAGGAGTTCTGGTTAGCAGTAATCTAAAACCAAGACAACAGTGCATTAGTGTTCGCAATAAAGCTAACAGAATTCTTTGCTTCATATCTAGAAGTATATATAACAGAAGTCCTCAGGTTGTTCTTCAACTCTATATATCCTTGGTTAGGCCTCATTTAGGACTATGCTGCTCAGTTCTGGTCACGTATTACAGAATGGATATTAAATGCTCTGGAAAACGTACAGAGGAGGATTACAAAAATGATCGTATGTATCAGAAATCTTCCATATGAGGATAGACTGAGGGCCCTGAATCTGCACTCTCTCGAAAGGCGTAGAATTAGGAGGTATATGATCGAAGTGTATAAATGGAAAACAGGAATAAATAAAGGGGATGTAAATAGCGTACTGAAAATTTCCAGCCAAGACAGGACTCGCAGCAATGGTTTCAAGTTGGAAAAATTCAGATTCAGGAAGGATATAGGAAAGCACTGGTTTGGTAATAGAGTCATGGATGAGTGGAACAAACTCCCGAGCACAGTTATTCAGACTAAAACGTTGTGTAGTTTTAAAAATATGTTAGATAAATACATGAGTGGGTGTGGGTGGGTGTGAGTTGGACCTGACTAGCTTGTGCTGCTGGGTCTGGTTCCGTGCTCCATCCTTGAGTGGAAGTGACCAGACTGGGTGGGCCATTGGGCTAATCCGGGGAGGGTGGGTCATTGGGCTAATCCGGGGAGGGTGGGTCATTGGGCTAATCCGGGGAGGGTGGGTCATTGGGCTAATCCGGGGAGGGGCATGGACCTGCTCCGCATGGATCAGTAGGCCTGTTGCAGTGTTCCTTCTTTCTTATGTTCTTAAGGATATGTGCTTAAAATTCCCTTAAAACGTTGTCATTATTAATATTTTTACTAGGTTTCTGCCTGTCAGCAATTCTGCTTTTAAAGAATTTCAATAGTGAATAATCTACTACTATTTCTCAACAACCAGTGCGTTCTCACTGGATACTGGTTACATTTTTAGTCTCTGTTTCTCTTTCACTTGTATTTTTTTCTTTTAACTGTCTATCTCCTATTTTTTTTATCTTAAATATCTTTATACATGCTTTCTCAATGTAGGTATATGGCAGATATACTTTACTAGTGACTGCCCCGACAGCACAGAGAACACTATGTGAAGACCTCAGGTGCCACTTCAAAAAATTTTTACACTAAAGCCAAAGAAATGTCTGGAGATCATTCAAAATAAGGCTGCCTTATCAGGGAAAGGGAAATCCCTAGAAGAAACAAACCATAAAAGATGTAAATATCTGCTAGATTACTCATATGCAGATGTAGTAAAAATATCAAAAACAAATTTATCACTGCTAAAAACCATACGAGGAAAAATTGATTGGCTCCACTCACCCTGATTTGCTGATAATTACAAAAATTTAGGGCTTCATCAATATTGTATGACATAACAATCAAATCAGTCACTATAGATACACGATAATCTTTGTGCAATTATTATGTACTTGGTCTCGTCAGATAAATTTGATTTTTTAATCACTAATGTTTTAATACATGACTTGCTTTTTACTACCAGTTCTGATTATACAGTACAGTATATGAAATGTGTTGAATATGTCTTATATCCAGAACATAATACAGTATAATGATTTATTCCTAAACATATACTCATATTAAATACAGTGGACCCCTGCATAACGATTACCTCCGAATGTGACCAATTATGTAAGTGTATTTATGTAAGTGCGTTTGTACGTGTATGTTTGGGGGTCCGAAATGGACTAATCTACTTCACAATATTTCTTATGGGAACAAATTCGGTCAGTACTGGCACCTGAACATACTTCTGGAGTGAAAAAATATCGTTAACCGGGGGTCCACTGTATTATAAATTGAACTGATATTAATTCATCACTAAAAGTTAACAGCACACAATATGAGCCATACAGAAAATATCGTTTACCATTTATATTATTCCCACAAATCCAAACTATATGTTGTTCCCTGTCGATTGCCTAGTCAATCATGGTGCTAATGCTAGCAGCCCACAGACCAACAATAGCCATCACGGCTTGACTGATCAGGCACATGCAGCAGATAGTGGTTCAGTTCCCTTTTGGGAACTGAACCACTATCTGCATGGTAATCTGCTGGTAAAAAGATGAATAGCTATGAACTAAAAATACTGACTATGTTGACACTAAGCTTTCTATTCTCTGAACTCTCACTGCAGTAAGATATGGTGTGCAGATTGGGAACCTGAGCCTCAGTTATTTTCCTTGTATACTATATTATCAGATACAGTATCTCTCTCTCTCTCCACAGTTTCAGAGATTATACTTACAGTGCTTTGAGGAATTCTAAGTAGTTTATAGGTTTTATTGATTCTATGCAAGTAACAGACTTCTGTATATTTTCCAGCTGATCTCTCCTGCCTTGAAAAGCACTGTGAACATTCAACAGTATTTGAGACTTGAGAATACAGTAGATACAAGTAGTACTGTGCTGCCAATGATGTGACTTCTCTAATTTTGAAGGTTCTGAAATCTACCTTGTCATTTTCCTGATTTTTGATGCATTTGCCTTACTGAGTTTTCTAACCCTAAGGTCACCTGATATTATTTATTAAATAGGTACAGTATCCCCAAAGAGGGTACATTTTAGCAATTGACAGAATTTTTTTTTTCCTCCTCCTCCAAGGTTTTTGTTTATAATTTGAGAATGCTTCATCATGCAGCTATTGGCATGTGTAGGTGCTCTGTGGTCAATTTTATACAGACCATTCCCAAACATAATTTGAGAAAGTTACTTCTGATCAGAATTGCACCTTTAACACTGGTGTAGTCTACTTGGGAAGAGGTGGGGATTGTTACTGGAGTGTGCAAGTGCTAACTGGGCAATCTTTTAAAATGGTGTGGGATTTTTTCTGTGAAATAATTTGAGTATGCATCTTCTGAATGCCTAGTTTTTAACAGCTGATGCATCTAATGAATAAAAACTGTATAGATGCAAATTTGCCCATTTACTATTATTGTTAATAAACTTGGGATCACTAGATTCTGAACAATACCTGAAGGCCTCTTCTGATAGCTTCAAACCTTCAGCAAATGTGGGCTTTGCTGAAGAGAGAAGGAACACTGCAACAGGCCTACTGGCCTATGCGAGGAAGCTCCATTTCTCCCATCGGCTTAAGCCAATGCCTTGACCTAGTGAGGTCAGACACG